GCAGTGGAGCATGTCCCGGGGACGCAGACTTGAAATGTCCATCAAAGGCAGTCACTATTTGTGACCGAGAAATAACTGGAAATGCTGGGTAAACATATTGTACGAACCTGGACAGTTAGGGTCATGATGCTTGGTGGAAACGGGGCAGGCTTACAATAGAACAAGTCTCCGTCCGACATCTTCACTCACCAAGTCGTTCAGTTCCTTTCTCACTGACTCATAATTATATAAATGATTGGTAGGACCGAGGCGTCTAAGCTCATCACTCAACTCATTTGAAGTTAGAAGGAATTGGACCGGAACATTGTTTTCATCTGATCTGGGATGTTCTGTGACCGAAGAATGGTCGCGATGGAAGGGGGTCCCGCTCTGCGTCCTTCGATATATCACTCGAAGAAACGGAAATTCGTCTGCGTCGTTATACAAGTAATGCCGGAGAAGATAAGGGTCCGACTCTCCCGAGAGACCAAAGTACGCGCTCTGGAACTCAGGTCTTTGGTCGATGGTAAAAGCAGCATCGTTCAGATTAGACGACTGTGCCCAGCCATCGTGTGGTTCTGTCGAGAATCTAATCCCGATCTCGTGCGCGGAATTCGCGCCATTTGACGAGGCTTCAAATGTTGGCAGTGGAGCTGCTCGCTCGGGTGTCTCGAAATCATGCTGATGAAGGACTTGAGAATTCGCAAGCGGGATTCCATCAAACTGCATCAGACCAGCGCCAATAGCAGTGCTCGCGAATTGTGTTTCATCTGGCGGAGGGCTGCCCCAGATCCTTTCATCGGTGAAGCCCCCATATATCGCGTCCTCGTCCGCGGGGTGCTGGCTGTAATGGTCATTCGTATGGTCTCCAAGGGAGCCCTGAACAATGTCGCTGGCTAGATCTCCTGGCAGGATTGTTGAAGTGTCGAAGCCGACTCCAGCTTGTCCGAGGTCTTCCAACCCGTCGCAATCATTGGGACTACCCCCGGACAGAGAGGCGGTTGCCGACTCATGAGTGAGAGCCGACTCGAGAGTGGGATCATCGAGAAAGCTGCAGCGTTCGCCTCGTTTGCGGCACATTATGCAAGATGTGTCTTTTCCCGCGCGGCGGCATGAAGTCTTACGCGCACGGCAAAGCATGCACGGCCGATTCCTCTTTGAACGATATGGCCGGCGTTGCAGGGCGTTGGGTGTAGTCCGCATGAGTGCGAAAGTTGGGTCCATGATGCATGCTTGAACGGGAGACGGTACGTACGTCTTTATGCGTTCGAGGAGCCACCTCGGTCATTGCCACATTGAATGCTTTGGGCTGGGCTATTTCAACTGCCGCTTTCTCAATGCATCAGATCGAAGGTTGTAATTTGTCAGTTGTCGGACCAAGGTGGAAAGCAAGACATGGAACGATCACCCTCCCCACGGGGCACTCTTGAGACTCCACAGATAGGCGAATTCTTTTTCCGTCAGGCGTCTATCGGCCCATCCGTCATTCCAGTATGTAACTATGCCTTCTAAAGTAGGCCAGTAGAGGCGCGCCCTAACCACTTGTGGATAAACTCATCCCGCCCAAAATATTTTGTAAACCCTTTGTTTTACCACAATAAACTCGGATCCTGGAGATATAGATCACATACATATACCCAAGGCTGACACTGGTCGTAGTCCGCCTATGAAGCGTCCTATGAGGGAAGAAAAACTCGAGCTGCCAATTCTAGACGCGGAAGTCGTGTAGTAATCAGTCGATTTGATGGAGCTGTTCGTGCAGCTCTTTGTCTCTAATAGCCTTGAATGACTAGGTGTCTCGGTAGGTACTTTGGGGGATGCCCCGCGAGGTGCACTTCTGGCTTGTTGAGCCTGTAGGGCAGCATACCAGGACACCCTTGGTGTCGTCCCCGCTTCCCCTAAAGAGTCGGTAAGAAATATGGTCAGCCAATTTTCAACTTTTTTCAGCGACCAATATGCTGAAAGGGGTTAGATGCGAGCGACTTACGCATCCGCTCCTGTCATAGGCCACCATCTCCTCCAAAACCAGCCTTAGGTTCAAGCTGCGAGAGCTTGTGGCCAGACTATGCTGTGGGCGTCGGTGTCTAAAAGAGTCCTGAATCTATATCCACTGTCTTGGGAGCTTAGTTAGTGGTACCACTTGTTCTGCAGGGAGATATTTCTCGAACCTCCTTGGCTCAATACGTGCGAGACCAACTTATCAATGACTCTTTTCCAGTTCATTGCAAAAGAGACTGATCTTGCCTTACTAACACCGGCACCTTTACTGATGAGACGACATTCAAGTGAAGCTTTTGCTATTTGTTCCGTGGGAGTTTGGCATCTCAACAATCCATGACGCTGGCAGGCTAACTTGGGAGCAAGTGAATTTTAATCGGCCGACAGGTAAATGAGTGTACTGCAGCTTGATTCTAATCTCCAAGTTTTGTGTTTAGCGCCGGTGGCTTGTCTTTGATGTTGCGATCAAACCAATTAACCAGCTCGGAGTCCCTGGCGCAGACGAGAATCTGTGCTCGATTTGAGGGGGCATTTCCCCACGTTTTCTCAACTCCAACACATGTGGGTATTGCAATTTCAACACTTGGCTGATTGGCTAAGAATACCACCATGTGGAGACGAGCTGTCTTTAGGGCTGATTCCAGCTGGGGACGTCGACCAGACTTTGCCGGGCTTTAACTCTTCTCCGCAACATCACCCGACCTTTCGGAATAGAGGTATCCCATCACTTGTGCAACTGGACTTGTGCAACTCTTCTGTCAGCAGCCGACTGCGGATCGGTAACAAGTACCGACATGGAAATTGTTTGGCAGGCCTCTGCGAGCCAGAACGCTAAACGCTCTTCCCAAGATAAGTCTATATAATTCCTCCTGTGTCCATGTCCTCTCGGCAAAATCACTCCCAACTAACCCAAGCCATTCACCCTGTCAAGGCTGCCGTGCACGAAAGAAACGGTGCTATCATGTCGGTGTCACCGAAAGACCATACGCCGCCAGACGCGGCGAAAGGTCAATCACAGACCCGGTTGACCAGGCATCGAATACTCGAGACTCGAGTCCTAGTCCGAGCCGTGTCAGTCTGTACAACCCAGAATCCGTCTTGACAGATCTTTCTATGGATTCTACAGGGGCAAGACTTGCGGACAAGGCTGGCACTTGCCAAGTGCATTCACGTCGCAAAGAGAAAGACTTGAATACATCTGAAGAAGGTATTTCTCTAGAGGAAAGATCTCTTCGCCAGCGCAATTGGTACGATCGTCACCGTCTCAATTCCAGGCGGCCTGAAATTTCAGACAATCAACGAAGATATCTTGAGGAAGAGGGTGCTTACCTCGAATTGCCAAAGTCGACGACTGACATCCTTCTGCCAATTTACAACATGCTCTTAGATGACCTCATTCCAGTACTAGATGGGGCTGCAATATTTCGGGACTACAGTAACGGGCAGGCATCCATATTTCTCCTCAGAGCAGTCTCCCTCATTGCCTGTAAATTCAGACAGGCAGCCCCATTTCTGAGAATCTGTGAGGATGGCGCTATCCTGGATCAGAGACATTTTGCTTCTATATTACTCAAAGGTCTTGATGTCTCTATCAAGGCAGATCTCGAGCCCGACCGGATCACCAAAGTTCAAATTTTAGCCTTGATGCACCTACACAACGACGGCCTGAGTGGACTAGACCGCTCCTCAGGGTATCTTTCCCAGGCTATATCCGAAGCGTGGGCAATCTCACTGCACGTAAAGGTTCCCGTTAATTCCGACCAGGAGCGTTGCGATTTTTTGTGGTGGACACTACGAAATTTTGATCGGCTGAACAAGCCCGTCATGGGCGCTGCTCCGTTCATGATTGATGATACAGACATTGGAGTTGAACGCATTGCTCCCCGAAAGGATCACTACCGGTCCCAGCTAATGGCCATATCTCTCTCTCTCGGAGATTTGATGAAAACGGCAACTAGGATTTACAAAGCTAGCTCAACAGCAACGGACGACGACTTTGATGCATTTCCGACATTCTCTGAGCTGACCACTAATGTTTGCATGGATGGGTTCCAGAGATCCCACAGATGTAAGTAACTCTGGAGCTTGAAGTAAAGCGTTGTGACTTTCTCTGATTCTAGTCTCTTAGTGTACTTACAAATTTGGTACCACGTCGCCGCGATGCTCTCCTGTCGCTATAGCGGGCCGGAGAGCGTCCAGTATCAGCGACGACTATCTTCTGCTGATAGTGTACTGCGCATCGTCTGTCTGGAAGAGCCTGCCAATCTCCCGCCTCTTCCTCTTGTACCTTATGCTATGTCAATGTCTACCACGGTGGTCTATCGCGCTCTTAGGGATGGCGAGCGAGCACCAGAAGAAGCGTACAAAGATCTTGGAGCATGTTACGATAACCTCGTCATCCTCAGTCGACTTTGGACCAGTGCAAAGGGAGTTGCTAGGTTAGTGAGGCGTCTGCAACAATTTACCAGGCCCAGTGCACCTCCCATTCGAACCACAGAGGGCGCCCCGTGCACTTGCGACGACACACATCAACACGCAAACGTCACTAGGAACCCAATCAGCAACTTGAATAACCTTCAACGACATGGACCAACCCAAGATGTGACTGGAAGCTCAGTGTTACCTGTTTCGAGCTTGGTGCAGCCCAGTGAGGCCTTTCTGCCACCAGATGAATCCACAGATGATGATGGTCAATCGGGTCACCGGGCTGCCACTTGGTTCGTTGATGGGCTATCTTACTCTCATTTTGACAGGGCCTTTTATGATTTCTTCGATTACGGCATGCCCAGCCTTTTTCGCGATTTGGCAACCTGGGATTTTCTCCAATCAGACGCGAATGATGATCTAGAAGTTTCATCATTAAACCATTAGATACTCACGAACCTAACCACTTCTTACGAAGAAACCCCTTCTTATCTTGATGCTCTCGTAGCCTGATGCCTTTCAAACCAATCCTTGAATCTCCGGCTACCATGTTGTCAGATTCTAAAGCTGGCTATTGATTGTTGGACTAAGGACAACTCCTATAAGAACTGCGTCCCGAGCAGCAGAGCATCGTATACCAATGCCTGAAAACCCTGAGTCTCAATCACAGCACCAAAACTGATTTGATTGTCAGCCGGAACATCGCCCGTTCGTCCATAGCTTGGCTTACCCATGACATTTAATGCCCTCCATCAATCTGTCAGCAAGCGCCCATAATCTTCGCAGCTCGATGCCGCCAAAGTGAGGTTGGCTCCGTATATACTCCCACGCTTGGGCTGGCGTCATCTCCCCGTCGAAGCAAACGTGCGGAGAGAGAGCTAGGATCCGTTCCAAGATATCTCGGGGTGCGTCTTGGTACGACGGAATACCAACATGACCTTTCTCGTTCGATCGGGATTGGTCTGCATATAAAGAGATAGTTCTCGCCGACACTGTCAAAACGTGACCCGTTGAGTCATCAGGCTTCTTGAGGTCACCATGAATATGTTCAAGGCAAGGACTTTCAAGCCTTAAATGGAGTCAGCGAATATGCAACTTACTAAGACGAGATTGTCGACTTAAGATCGACGCATTGTGGCATGGCTGTGCTCTCACCTTAGAACAAACTCCATACCTGCTGCGATCAAGTCAACCTCGCACATTCGGTTGTCGTCAAAATCATACATATTAACCGCTCTGTTAGTCTTCAACCACGGAAGCTCTGTTCCTTGCTTTTCGGTGTATTGGTGACTCGACAGAGCGTCTGTTGCCGTTTGGAGGTCATTGGCAACAATATCAGCCGTCGTGTTGAGTTCCGCCTGGAGTGGGTTTTTGTCAACCGTTCGACCGTCTTCTGATTCTTTTTCCGAAGTTTTCAAAAGTTCGGTGGCTCTCAATCCGGCCAAGAATTCGCCCATTCTAGAATGAGATAAGTTGTGAATCCCACCGTCATTTTTGCTGGTTAAGTTGTCCCCGAAAGCGGCAGGAATACCGATACCATGGCGAGAAAGCATCTCTGTTAACGACTCGAGAGCAGCGTACATCTGCTCGCATCGGATCATAAGTTCAGCCTCTCTGTTTCGGGCTCTTTCGACCTCTTGTTCGAGCGACTTGGTGTACTTGTCCTTGCGGTCACGGTACGACCTAAATACAGAATTACAAAATCGCCTCAGCGCTGATACAGATGCATTCTCATACCGTTGTGCACTTCGAAGTTGTGCTCGCCGCTTCTCCACGGGGTCTTTCTTGGCCTCTGCGACGCACTTAGCTTTCGGACAACGATGTAGTCACACACAGAAAGCTGCACGACACGCGTGCGCATTCCTGTGCTGGCTCAATTCCATGGACGAACCTCCAGGATTGAAGATACGGAATATCTTGCTGCTCATACTGATGCAAATGGACAACACGGAGCCTGGGATTGTTTCAAAAGATCGACGGATAGGTGAAGCTGTGTCGTACAATCCAGATTGGAGTTCTTGTTCTTCGTGGTTGAGATTGTTGTTGTGCAGCAATGATTGAAATTTCCCGACACTCTTAAAGTGCATTGTTATTGACTGACTGTCAGCTACGACTGCTCACCATAGTTCCTCACTTCAGATGGCAGTTTCAGATCCTGGGGTGGTCTCGGATGTTCGGCTGACGATCAAATGGCCCACTTGTTTCATTTGGCGCGATGAGAATATCAAAATTGCCTCTTCTGGTTAGATCTCACTGCATGTCAGACGAAAAGGAGCGCTTCATGGAGGCTGTAGCGTCTTGATAACCTTGTTTAGTGGACGCAGGCGATGTGGAATCAACCGTTTGATCTTGTGGCTCCCTTTCAGTGGTGTGGAATCTACTGACAATGACTGAAGCAAGTACACTGGGAGAGCGACGTAAAGCTGAAGGGACCATGGTGAAAGGCATGGCTGTCAGGCCTTCCCCCGGGTATTTGTTCCTTGAAGCGCTTTCGTGATGCGGGTTTCGAGATGTCAATCGATGTTTGGATGCACACAATAAAAGATACTGTCATCGAATCTTCCCAAATAGGAAATGGGGATTACCGCATCATTTTGCCCTCGCGAAATGCGCGAACATTGGAAGCGGCAGCGACTCAATAGGATACCCAAGTACTTGTTTGCCCTTGGAAACCTCGCATTATATATTTCTTATATTTCCTTACTCTTTTGTCGAAACCATCAAGACTCTACTCAGCTCGTCCATTTCTACAGATAAACTACTTTTTGCTCATGTTTTGGTGATTATCAACCCCCACAACCTACCATTCCTCGCCTCAACCATCCATCACAATTAACTATTTACCCCATCCCCAACATGCGTCAGCACATGATTCTCTTCCTTTGCTTTGCTTCATCTATATCGACTGTTTGGGGAAGAACGATGGCCTGTAAGGCTGAATCTCGGCCCGGAAAAGCTATCTACACTATCACCAACGATCAGACCAACTCTGTGATTGCCATTCCAATATCCAGCAATGGCATGCTTTCAAAGGGAGCAACATTCTCAACTGGTGGATCCGGTTCGAATTTTCTTGATGGCACAGCAAACGAGCCAGCTGCTCCTGATGCTTTAGCATCTCAGTCGGCACTTACTATTGCAGGCAATGTAACAACGCCGATTCACATTCTTGATTGTTAGCTTTTGCTAATGTCAGTCTTACAGAGCTTGTTCGCCGTCAATGCTGGCTCGAACACGGTCACAATGTTCGCAATCGACCCGTCGAACCCCACCAAGCTCACCATGATGGGGCGCCCAGTTGCGGTTCCTTGCCAATTCCCCAATACGATAGCAGCGTCAATGAAACACAATGTTGTCTGCGTCGGCTGTTCCGGGAAACAGTCTGGAGTCTCTTGCGCTGAGTTTTCCACAGATGGTCTGAGATCCATGGATACTCTTCGGCCCGTTGAACTTAGCCAGACTACCCCTCCCGTCGGACCTACCAACACCATATCTCAAGTTTTCTTTTCCAATAACCAGGACATCCTATTCACTACAGTCAAGGGTGATCCGTCTCAAAATAAGACAGGGTTTCTTGGTGCGTACAAGGTTAACAGCCAGGGCTCTGTTGAACATGATGGAGTGCAATCGTCGCCGAACGGTACTGCAGTTTTGTTTGGTTCGTCGACGATCCCCAGAAGCAACAATCTCTTTGTCACTGATGCTTCTTTTGGTGGGGCGATTTTGTCCATTGAGTCGAAGACGAACGTTGCTTCTGTAAAGGGGATGAGCGTTGTCGGCGGACAGAAAGCAACATGTTGGGTCGCAGTTTCTTTGGCCACTGGCAGCGCATTCGTCACTGATGTTGGGACTAACAGGTTGATCGAAATGTCGCTGAGCGATGCAAGTATCCAAAGTATCATCGATCTCAGCGCCAATGGTGATCCAGGTTTGACTGACCTGAGGGCGGCTGGCCACTTTGTGTATGCGCTGAGTCCAGGCAACGGAACAACACAGTCTGCAATCACTGTGGTTGACACCGCCGCGAAGAAACAAGTCCAGCATTTTGCACTTGGACAACTCGGCGTTGGTAAAAGTGCCCAAGGAATGGCGGTCATGCTGTAAATATTATATCATTTTGTATTCAGTAATTATTCTATGACGTTTGCGTTGCATTTTGAGTTATACTGTCGTCCAGAAGGGTTTTCTGTACCATTCACATGACCCAAATCTGCTGCGCTATTCCGGTTGCGATGTCTGCCTAGGCTGGTAGGTCGATGCTAGCCTCGTTGAAGTGAATCAAAATGGACCATCACTTTAACGCCAGATTACAACGAACAGTATTGCAATTCTCTTGGGGCTAACAAACATCCTTAAGAACAAGAACAATCCCTCCCATCTCTATCAAATAACTATGGCCGTTCCCAGTTCCACCGACCGTTCATGAAGAGCCACTGTTGTCTACACACGAGAAGGCACCCCCAATCAGGCCGTCGGCATAGGCATCAATGATGTTTTGAACGACACCATAAGTGCCGCCGATAGTCAGGAAAACGGCCAGCAGAATCATAAGCCAGTTCAGCCAGTACACCATGGCTTGCCACCAGTTGCCCTGTCTGTAATGCGGGTGGTCGAAGATCCATAAGTAACCAGGAAGACCGAGTGCCAGAGGTGCGAAAGTTAAACTTCCTGCTAGCGCCAGCAGATAGTTGAAGATGGGGATTCCAGATGCCAAGAGGAATGAGACCACGGACATTCCGAGGGTGCACGCAAGCCAAACAGACCAGTGAATGACCGAGTTCTTCTGTAAATGAACAGAATCTCGAAGGATTCTGACAAACAAGTACTTGGCTGCGACATGGATGTACAGACACGCGCTGACCATCAGGCCGATCAAGCCAATACCGTACGAGACTTTCTTGACGGTCTCTCCAGCACTACCTAGTGAAGGAGAGGCAACCCACTGGCCGCACCAACGATAGACAACAAGTGAGAAGGTCAAGTAGGACGCTGTGACAATACCCATGCAAAGGTACACAGCTTTATTGTAATCCTTGGGTTTCTTCATTTCCGAGATGACGGGAAGGAACGCCGATGTTCCTGCACCAGAGCAGAAGATAGTTGCAACACTCGTGATTGCGGTCACGAAATTGGGGTTTCCGATGACATGGTAACCTAGGTCGAAATCACCTGTCTTTGGGGCAGCGGCAGGCCTGTCGACTTGCGTGACGGCAACACTGTAACAAATGTTAGTGGAATTTTCGAAGGCTTTGGAGCGCAGACGGCAGGACCGATACACTAATAAAGAAATATGATCTGGGTTGGGAGGAAGTGAACTTACACCACGATGAAAACGGCGATATACACTGACAAGAAGCCAGCCCATGTCAACCATGCAATCTTTTCGAATTTTCGAGCACTTGCGAGAATAAAGACACAGGCAGTGGCCACCAACATGAAATAGTTGGTACAGATGGCGTGGTTCGAGAGTGCATTGAAGGCAACTGAGGTGCCAAAAATGCCCGATGCGCCGACGATTGCATATGTGACGAGGAAGAGGACTCCGACAACTTCCTTCAGCCAAACACCACCAACGACGTTGGCCATATCCGCGATAGAATGACACCCAGCATGGGCGTTGCGGAAATTGCCCTGGATAATGGCGCAATACGTGTTGAGAAACTGCCAACCAAGAACATTAATGGCACCGGGCAGCGCACCCAACACGAACATGGCTGAAGGAATTGTGAGAACACCGGTTGCGAAAATAACTTGGATTTGTTAGCTACACCTCTGCTTGCCAGGCGGATAAGTGGCTAAGGCTTTCTTACCCTTCAAGAAGATTACTGAGGCGTGTATCCATCCCACAGTACGGAAGTCGACCGTCCCTTCGCCGCGCTTGAAGACTTCAAAAGCATCTTCAGCATTCTCGAGCTTTCCCGCGTCGATGCTACCGCTGCTCCGGGCCGGCGCCGGTGTTATGGCATCGCTCTTTTCAGAATTGGTCTGAGACATTTTGACGGCGGTTTCGATTATTGATGCGGGTTCCGATTCCAGCTGAGTGGTCGCTTCTACAGAGTCCGTGGCGTATCGTATGACGGATGAGCCGCGGACATTACCTCAATATAAGATCGTCCCTGTTAGTTGAAGTTGGAGCATCTGGTAATATCGACTGTGACGAGTGAGATGAACATGAGAGCCTGGCGTGGCTTATCTCCTAGCGGCACAGATGTTCCGACGCAAGATAGCTGTCGAAAGGAAAGACTGTCCAACCCCGCGACGAGCTCCAGATGCCGCTCCAAGATCGTGGGTCGCCGACCCATGGCGACACCCAAAGTCAAAAGCGCGTTCAGGGGTTGGATGTGCGTTTGTGGAGTGCCAGTGGGTCAAAACAAGGTTCCTGCGATAAGGTTGGGGTATTAGTGACAACTTGGGGCAGTTGTCGAGCCCATGTGCCGAAGTTGGAGTCTAGAAAGCTCCGGGCTTGGAAATAGATATACCCCAAAGCCATAGGTCCACATTGACTGATTTGACTAGAGCATCATGAGTGATAAGCGCGGGGTAAGTTGACGAGCCTTGGAGGCATGTATGTCAATGGACTTCATCGACGAGGACTTACTCCAAGCGTCTTGCAGTAGGATACAGAGCCAAGTCAGTAGAGATGTCCGCCTGAAACTCCTGGCTAAGTATATTTGAACATTTATGGCTAGCGCCGCCGGAAAGATGAATCGTGGAGTCATAAGAGCAGTTTACCTCATAAGTTTCTCATTCCCTTACGCAGGCTCTTTGAAGTGGAGGTGATGTGCTAAACAAATATGGGAATATGGAGGGAAGCAAGGTGGAATAGATAGGCATGAATGTTTTGTGGAGTCGAGAATTCGGATATCAATTTTCATTACAAGAGTAAACTCAGTATCTATGCTCCTACGGCTTCTTTCTTCAGCATGGCGCCAGGCTCTGCAGGCATCACAGCTCCCTGTGCCGGTGCCGTCTTTGCCTTGAATTCGTCGCAAATTTGCTCCATTGTGACGAATTCCACCCCTTCGTGCTTCTTCATGTGTTCAATGAGCCTCTCGTGCATGAGCAATGCGTGAGGACGACCAGATACGTCCGGGTGGACTGTCAGTGGAAAGATGAACTCGTCGTACTCGCGGTAGAAATAGTCAAAATGATCTCGCCAGATATCCTCCACATCCCTGGCGTTGACGAATCCGTGGCTGTTTGGCGCATCTTTGATGAACATCATTGGCGGCAAATCGTCAAGGTACCAATTGGCCGGGATCTCCACGAGCCCTGTTTCTTGTCCCCTTACAAGAGGCTTCATCCACTCGCTAGGTTTCTTTTTGTAGTCAATCTTGGTCCATTCATCGCCAGTTCGTAGATAATACGGCTGACAATCGTGGTGGCTCATACTGTGGTCGTATTCGATACCATAGTCGAGCAAAAGCTGAGCCCCCTCCTTGCTTGTTTCCCACCATGGAGCGACGCTACCCCTCGGAGGCTTGCCCGCGAAGTCTGTGAGCATGCGATGTGTCTTATCAAGGATTTCTCTTTGTTGATCGATGGTCATATCTGTCGGATTCTCGTGCGAATAGCCATGTAGCCCGATTTCGTGGCCGGCGTCTCGCACAGCGGCCATGTCCTCGGGAAAGGTCTCGAGGCTGTGTCCTGGGATGAACCATGTAGCCTTGATGTCGTACTTGGCGAGGAATTTGAGCACCCGTTGGACACCTATCGTTCCAGCAAAATAACCTGGAAAGTTCAATCGTAAGCTCAAGTAGGCCACGCATACCCGACTACCTTAGCTCCCAATACCTACTTACCTCTGCTGATATCGTTGGACGAATCTTCTCCTCCATAGGATCCTAGCCATCCGGCGACCGCGTCAACGTCGACGCCATAGCTAACGAGAACACGCTTCTTGCCCATTGTGAGTTGAGATTGGATTTCTGTGCGATTCTTCGCCAGGGAGGGGTGATACTCTCAAAGGTGGAATGATCTCGAATCGGTTGATAAAGACTCGTGCGGGGTTCGGGGAAAGGCAGAATAAAGGAAAAGGGTTGCTGCCACGCTGCGAGCGGATTCCTCTTAAACAGTCAAACCTAGTAGCGGCTCAGTCGGTCATGTCACTGAGGGGTATTCATCATCTTATCGGGATTCATTATGCTATCAATTCTGCAATGCCTTCCCATGCCTTGGGTCGCTTATCGCGGGGTAGCTTGTGTGGATTCACCTCCTATGAAGGTAAGGTTCAGAAGCAGGGATCTCGGACTGGGTAGATGTCTATTGTGATACCTTTGATTGGACAGCAACCATTGGGCATTTAACCACTCCATCCAGATTATTTCAGCGATCACTTGTATCCAGTCCTTTTACATAGCTGTGGTATTGAAAAGGAGGGGTATTGTCTAAGAGGGGCGAAGGACTTCATCCGGTCGCGGACCTGCCGCAGTATGGTCCTGTTGGAGACCTAAAGTTTTTGTGTAATAGAGGGTGGATTCGTGGCGTGGGCGACAGATTTGGAGGCGAACTGGGAGGTGCTCGAGTTGCTCCAACGGCTCGACTTGACCCCTCTTTAAGTCGGATGATAACGGCCAACAACCATCGACAACTCTTTAACTTGAAGCCTTCAGGAGCTTGGCCACCCGTGGAATAAGCCCGTATAGAATAGAACTTGATCGAGCCCTCCATTGTCTGAAGTTCTAATTCAACTCCATATTCCAACCTCAAGGGCCTCATTTTTTGCACCAAGTAAACATCAAGAACAGCAAATTTGATCCGCACCGCAGTCCGTGTTCTAAGCCCTTGGCAAACCTCAACTGCTCTCTTTTAGAAATCATGGCAAACCCCATCATTCCTCCGGTGATGCGAGCAGCTCAGATAAAGGAAGTCGGTTCTCATGATGCATTATGCTCCAGGAGATAGTTCAGGAAAAGCTAATCAAACCATCAGTACAACAAACCATATGAGCTAGTGGAGAGAGAAACTCCGGCCATTCGCAGCAATGAGCTACTTATCAGAGTTCATGCGGCCGGATTCTGCCACTCGGATCTACAAGTTTTACAGGGACAATTTGAGTCACCGTTGGGCATGATCGCATCTCATGAACCTGCCGGTATCGTGGTTCAGGTTGGTAAAGACTGCAATCAGAAATGGAAGGTCGGTGATAGAGTTGGGGCTCTCAACTACAAGAACTCATGCGGCAAATGCAGTGGCTGCGGTCTGTCACTTCGCACTAGCAGGAAGCATACTCTGGACCCAAGATTCTGCGAAAAGAGAGAGACCGCTGGTTTTCATCATGATGGGGCTTTCGCGGAATATCTTGCCATAGATCCGGAGACCACTGTCGGCTTACCGCCGACCCTATCTTTCGAGCAAGCGGCGCCATTGATGTGTGCAGGTGCTACAGTTTGGGGCTCACTCGAAAAAGCAACAAGTGAGCTGGAAGCAGGAGAAACTGTAGCTATTGTCGGCATCGGAGGTTTGGGTCATCTCGGATTACAATTTGCCAGCGCCATGGGTTTCCGCGCCATAGCGGTCGACAGCCGTCCGGCGGGGAGGCAGCTTGCTACTGAAATGTTCAATGAAAGTCTCAGGCCGGTGCTGGTGGTGGATTCTGGCTCGGAACGTGCGACTTCTCAAATCCTGGACTTTACGAACGGGGAGGGCGTAGCCGCAGTTGTGGTTTGCACAGACTCACTATCAGCCAACAGTTGGGCATTGACGATCCTACGAATTGGAGGGGTCATGGGAGTCCTGGGCTTGCCTGCTGAGAATTGGAGGTTTGACTCTAGTGTCATCGTTTTCAGAGAGCTCACGATTCGGGGGAGTTATGTTGCGGGTAGAGAATCCACCGAAAGGATGATGGAGGCTGTGGAGAGAGCCAGCATTAGGTCTCACATCACTCTGATGTCGTTTGACGAGATCCCGGGCATTGTAGTGGCTTATCAGGATAGCGGATTTAAAGGCAGGCTTGTGGTGCGCATTTCGGAGTAAGGATACCCTATTAACTGAGTATGTTAGCAATATCGAACGTTGTCTTGTGTTTTGTGCATTACAATTAGTTGTTTCCTGCTTTTTCGAACAGACACCATACGGCCCTCCACAATCTGGTCAGGGTCAGCGTGAGAGTTACAATGATGAAAGGTCACGCGATTTTTCTACTAGCTTGGCGGCCGGTTAATTGACTCAATCTATCGTGATGGAGTTCAAGGCTGATTTCTATCTGACTCCAATTCTATCTTTCTTGTAACCGCTTTGCGGACACTGAGTTGTACCAGCGCTCATTAGGGTCATCCTCATTCAGTAGTGGTGGAGTTGGGGTCGTTAGACGTTGTCTCCAAATTCTCTTTACTCAATCTTCGTATTACCCCAACACCATTGTGCCCCTCCCTCCACAATCTCTCGTGCCACAGTAGGTTTGTGTTACTGGGGCTTGGAGGCACAGAGTAGCGGGGGCATTCTACGGATATTGCCATCACGTTCGTTGATGTCGACTTCATTCTGTGTGTCATCGGAAACCCGCCTTCGCCACAGATTGACCCAATGGCCCGCGGAAGAGCCCCCGACAATTTCTCGTGGGTTCAGCATGGATGTTACTTTCGAGCCTTTATGAACAGCATGCTGGCTAACCAGTCGTCACTACAATCAATCGAAACGCATCGGTGACCAGCGATCCAACAGAACACCGTCGACGATTGCCACCTCCCATCATGTCTGTTTTCTTCAAGGACATCTCCACGTAAGGACCAATCTCATCCTACCTGATGCGGCCTGAATGCTGACAGGTACGCCATAGGGAGAACCCCGTGCAGAAAGGCGACGTCGAGAAGCTGCTCGAGCCACTCGGTTTGACGATCAAGGCTGAGGAGTCGGCCGACTACCAGCGACTGCTCGCTGCGGTGCACGATTGCGCTACCCGTATCGATAGTCTTCCAGACTACCAACCGGCCCCCGACACGAAACGATACCCCCGAGAGAATGTACATATACCCACAGCAGAAGAGCAAGAGTTTGGGCATGCGTGGGCACATCGTTTCTTGATTAGGGGAGATAAGTCAGCTTCTGGTCCGTCTCAGGTATGCCTGAAGGGAAAGACTGTATGCTTGAAGGATTGCATTGCCGTAGCAGGCGTTCCACAATTCTTCGGAAGCGATGCTTTTCCTCCTTGGACGCCATCGACGGATGCCACAGTGGTGACACGAGTTTTGGATGCCGGAGCCGACATTCTGGGGACGGCTACATGTGAGCACTTTTGCAACTCCACAGCATCCTTCACCAGCGCGCAAGGCACAATCGAGAATCCCTATAAGGAAGGCTACTCCACCGGTGGCAGCACCTCTGGGGGTGCCGCCCTTGTTTGTTCCGGAAAGATCGATATCGCGCTAGGCACAGATCAAGGCGGCAGCATCCGGGTTCCAGCTTCATTTTGCGGCTGCGTCGGTGTGAAGCCGACTCACGGTCTGGTGCCTTTCACGGGAATTACTAGCGGTGATGCTATTGATGACCATGCAGGGCCCATTTGCCGTTCGGTCACTGAAGCTGCTGAGTGTCTTGATGTGATCTCCGGATACGACGGCATCGACGATAAGTCTCTAGGCGCTGCGGCTCATGGCTCCTACAACTTCTCTGCTGCTCTGTCAGCGAGCTCCGGTCGTTTGGACGGAATCAAGATTGGCCTTCTGAGGGAGGGCTTCGATCAAGAAATTGTCGACCCCAAAGTCAAAGACCACGTCCTTTCGGCCGCCCGGAGACTAGAGTCTCTAGGGGCAATTGTCGAGCATGTATCCGTCCCTCTTCATCTGGAAGGCCCTTCAATATGGACAATACAACAACGTATTGCGGGCTCGTCGGGTATGCTGGGGAGAGCTTCGGGACACAGAGGTCTTGGCCTGACTGAGTTTGAAAAGGCACGACTGCCCTGGGTGGATTCGAGCTTTCAAAAGCTTTTCCCCTCCACAAAGAATACCTTCATCAACGGCTTGTATCTTTCGGACAAGTTCCCGGGTCTCTACAGCAAAACAGTCAACATCGGTCGGCAAATCAGCGACGCCTATCAGAGCAAGTTTCAAACGTACGATGCGATAATCATGCCAACGACTCCTTTTGTGGCACCACGACATGGGCCTCGAGATTCTGTGCTGGGTTCATTTGAACCCACCATAGGACTGACCACCAACACCGCCGTATTCAACGTTACTGGACATCCAGCAATGTCAATACCCGTGGGATTTATTGCCGCCAAAGATGACGCGCAGGTCTTACTTCCGGTTGGCATGCAAATTGTCGGAGGGCTATGGCAAGAGAAGAAGATCCTCACCATTGCACATGCATGGGAGACCAACTTCGACTGGAAGAGCGTCACGAGCACTCCCGAAGCTCCTGAATCTGTTCCGGATACTCTCTCAACGGGCTCAAATGTCAAAGTCAATGGCAGGACGATGCCTGAGGTTAACGGCACAACTTCACCAAGTCTTAAGCGTGTGAAGTTGGCCGTTTGAGAGCCTTACGAGACCGAGTCGAAAGGGCTGCATTCAGAGCAAACTATCTGGGTTTGGAGCCTGTGGCGCAAGGGGTCTGATGTCTATAGCTTCAAGGTATCTAGCATAAAGTAGAAGGAAGTTGTCGGGATCTCTCACACCATCTCGAGCTGAGCCTCGGCCTCAAGGACCTAATTGCCTACTACCTTATGCCACACACACAGTGATACACATAGAGACACTCGCTCTCTCTTGGCTCTAGGTATTTGCTTGGTCCACCACGTGTCGCCTGGTTCCCCAGCAATTCCGCAGTTGATACACAAGGCTCGGTCAAGCACTTTGGGAATGAACGCTTGCGGCTCAACTCATCCCAACAAAGGGTAGACCCGAGTTGGCTTGCCCGCCAGAACACCTCAATTTCACTTCCCCGCACCACCAACGGCACTACCCGTATGGTCGTAACCAAAGACACCTTGCCGCTCGGTCACCGCGGCGAGAGGGCTCATGCTGTGCCTCGCTAATGTTAGAAAGACAAGTATTGATCAAACGCAGGACTGACATTGGTCGGCTCGCTTCTATCCCTGTCTCCCCACAAGAACCCCAGCAAACGGGACATGTTTGGTCACACAGATAGCTCTCCGCCCGGCCATCGTTTGAATGAGCGCTTCCGGAATGATTCACTTCATTCCATCTCCACCGCCGAACAGTCGCCAAATTCTCCCAGCTGACGAGTGGACAAGCACAGCCCAACACCCTTCCCAAAGCTGCTCCTGGCGGCTTACTGCGTCAGGAAACAGACGGTAAAGGCCTGCCAACTTGCGCACACATCCGAGACAGAAACATGGTCCGCAAAGGAAGCCCCAAAGTTCGGACTGGATGCATCACCTGCAAGTAAGTCTACTAGGCGTGTCAGGCTGTCAGCCATCCAGGCTGTGCCGCACTTACGGGGTCCATATATCTCCATCTGATCAGCACCTAATTGACGGTCTTTAGAGCCCGCAAAGTCAAGTGCGACGAGGCTAAGCCGATATGCAATCGCTGCACCAGTACAGGCAGACGCTGCGATGGCTACAGACCCGCTCGTCAAGGAACCGTATCCCTACACCAGCCAAATCAAGTCTTCCCGGGAGTCACCAAGGTCAGCGAAGGTCGAGCTCTACAGTACTTCTGTGAGATAGCGGGACCAGTCATGTCAGGAGCCGTGGATCCCTATTTCTGGACACACGTCGTGATGCAGTTCAGTAACTTCGAGCCGGCCGTCAGACACGCCGTCATTTCCATCAGCAGTCTCTATGAAGAGGCTCAGGGCAATTTTGAGGCTACTGCCACCGTACGGCACAGCAATCAAAATTTGGCCCTACACCACTACAATGCCGCTATTCACGAGTTGAGAGTCATGGACTCTCAAGAAAAGCAGCCCATAATCTTGCTTGTTTGCGTTCTCTTCATCTGCGTGGAGATCATGCGCGTCAACAGAAAAGCAGCACTGCAGCACAGCAGACATGGTGTCGAGATACTGAAGAGTATCTCTCCCGACTACATGTTCTCGTGGACCATGGAGCACCTCCTACCGATATTTCGGCGGCTTAGCGAGTTCGCTCTTTTCTTCGGTGAAGAAGAGTCGGATTTCCCTGACATAAGGGCCCTAGAGGGACCCATGCCGCAGTTCTTTCTCACTTTCTCAGACGCACAGCTCATGCTCGATGTCCTCTTCAATCGAACAGCAGAGTTCATGCGTTCACAGCGCAATTCACAACGAGCCGCTTCAAAATCGCCTGGACCCGATGATACCGGAACACCGCCCCCGAGTCTTCTCTCTGAGCATGCTGCCATCAACGGTCTCCTAGACCAGTGGTTCAAGCTTTACAATGACTTCATGGCTATCAAACCCAAGGAAGCACCTACACAGAACAATCAAATCATCAGCCGGTCAGACTCAGATAGGCCAAAGATGCTGCAATGCTTTCTCTTGACTCGCTATGAGTGCTGTTGCATATGGCTCAACATGGCATTCGATACAAGCGAAGCCGGCTACGATAGATACATCAACAACTTCCGAAGAATCCTAAAGCGGCTTCTCTGGCTGGAAGCCGAGGTTCCAGATCCTTTACGTTTCAACACTTCAAAACATCCACACTTCATCTTCGAAGCTGGCTTCGGCGCCATGCTATTCTTTCTCGTCTCATCTTGTCGTGATCTAGAAACGCGACTGGAGTTCCTACGGCTGATGCCAGTGTTGGGTCTCCCGCGGGAAAATCTTTGGGAAGCAGACGTCTTAGTCGCGGCTGCAAGGAAAATCATTGAGCTCGAGCACGACATCAAATTGGATATCAGTGGGCGGCCCGTGTCTTCACCATCGTTTGTGCAGCCTCCCGGGGAGATGAGGGTGACGGACCTGTGGACGGAATCTCAAATGAGGCCTGACAGTTTGCAAATGGACGATCAAGGTGTATCTCATCGAACGATACAGGTTGTGAGGCGAGACTCCAAGGGCCAGACCTATCTTCAGTCCGAGGA